CTCTTGTTCTCAGAGAGTCCATCGTATGTTTAAGAAACATATCAGTGAAGAGCTGCCATGTTCCTGGGACAAGATTCTGTTCTGACAGTCAGTCTTGGCTGGCAGTTTTGCGAAGATAAAGCTAGCTGGTTCAAAGTATGATAGAGACCATGCAAGTCGTTAGCTGTACTGTGGTACTTTCTTAACTATTGGCAGTATCTAGTGGGTTTGGTTTGTTCATGCAGTACTACTAAGTCTCAGCTTTTGTACAAGAACTGTCCCTGACATCAGTCAGGTGGAGTAGTTGCCTATACCACTGGATAGGGCAATCCATGATGACACTTCTAATCTTCCCTGTTTATTCATTGTTATGTATTACAGACACATTCAGCTTTTTTAGAAGCAAACACTAGCCTCTCTGTTATGTCTGTCTTTGCTGGATATTCAACACCAATATATTTGCATTGAAGATAAAGACAAAATGACAAACATGTTCTTAAGGCTTGCTATAGCCTATCTATGTAAAATCAAGTAAAGGTGAATAATATCTAAACATAGGGAGAGGAAAGATGCCATTTTGAAAAGCATTTCTTGTGCTTGAGAAATAATGTAATGAGAAAGCCTTGTTTCTTTTTGCAAGCATTCAAGCCTCTAAAGATATTGCTACATTTCTCAAAGAAAACACCGCTCTTAATTTACAAAAAATATTGAGTAAAAGACACATCTTCATTTTGAATTGTATCCTAAAAGATTGCTGGGAAGGTAGATGCTCCTTCAAACAGATTTTTATACTGGATAATTTCTTGAATCATTTATCTTCTAAGGACTTATATTTTTATCAGATAACTGACCGAAGATAATTTAACTCATGATGGTTAACTCTAGTTCTGTTTTTTGTCTATAGATATATGCAAAAAACCTGGTGAATGCAGATAGGTGTGCACTCTTCCAGGTTGACCACAAAAATAAGGAGCTGTATTCAGACCTTTTTGATATTGGAGAAGAAAATGATGGGAAACCTGTCTTCAAGAAGACCAAAGAAATAAGGTAAGGGTAGCTAGCAGAAGAATGCAGTTTCATTATAACTACGGATGTGCAGGCATTTTATTACCCAGTTTCTGTGCCTATCTGCAGGTACCCTGACAATACTTGTCATACTGTGATATCATTCCCACCAGGACCCGCCTCCAGAAGGTAGTACTTCTGGGAATGACATTGCAGTGCCATCGAAACAACGTCTCTGAAGCTATAACGTCACTCCTGGAAATGCCGTCTTCCGGAGGCGGTCCTTTTGGAAATCATGTTGGGAAAAAAACAGAGGTGTTCTGAGGTAGGTAAAGGTGCAGGTAAAGGTGCACCTAATCCATAGTTCTGCCAGTATGGGACTTGTTTTCCCAAGAGGGTTCCCAAGAGGAATTTAAATTTGTGCGATTCAAGCACATCCAAAGCCAGGAAATCACAAGTTTTACTTCTTATGGATGGATTAGGCATATGTAGAATCTAATATGGACTGATCATTGGTTTTGAAGATTTGAAATCTAGTAATTTAGTTTTACTTGTTGTCATGTGAATTTACAGTATTTTCAAACTTGTAATTAATTATGTTTCTGAAGTATGCTTGAAGTGGTGAATTTGAAAATGTATATGGGCTTGTAATGAATACATAGGATTCTCTGCCTAAAATTGATGAGTATTTCTGCTTCGTGTGACAAGTACATACCTTTTACATATGCACTTCTTTAATGAAAGAGCCAAAACAACAAAGTAAACACAAATTTTTTTATTTTTCAAAAGTTGGAAATCCTTAATAGATACTGATCAAGATTTTCAAAGACACACAGGTTTTTAAACCTGAAACCTCTTAAAAATAAACAAATGTATGATTAAGTATCCTGCACTAAAATTTTGTTAAAATGCTCAGCATAGATTTTCTCAGAATTTTTTTTCAATTCCTCCTTATACTTATAAAGTTCTGTGCCAATATGAGATGTGATTCATGTCTTCACTTAGACTCCTTTAGACAAACTTACTCCCACTAGCTACATTGTGTGAGTGAGAATGGAAGGAGTCAAAATTGGTGCAATTTACATACTGACAAGCAAGAAGGTGGTGTCAATTAAAGAAGGTGACCTGCTTTCACATACACTTTCATACTCCTTCTTGATAATTGTTTTTCTTGTATCTTTCTGTCTTTTCTGTATGAAAATTACTGAAATGTTGACTCTGAGTGCAAGGGTATGAGCCATTTCATGGGTGCTGTATACTGCAAGAGAAGAACAAATTAAATATCTGTAAGAGAGTGACACTGAGTCAGTCAGTCATCGGGAAGGAGTCTTCAGTTGGTGTGATGTACATGTTCTGAGAAGCAGCAAAAGAAACTAACTTAAAATCTGGTGTGCAGGATGAAATCCTGTCAGCTTTGTCACTAACTTCAGTGGGGGCAGGATACTACCCAGCTACATTTAGATTTGAAAGTGTTCTACATATGATTCTTTCTGTTTATTTTTCTCCACAAATTCTTTAGTGCTTGTATGTCATCACTGATTTACATCAAATAATTGAGTATTTCCTCATAAGACAGACTTGTAGTTTTTTCTGAATCAACTCCACAGTATTTGTTGTGTTTAAATTTCTTGTGGTGATTAAGGGCTGCAGTTAATACCATGACATTGTTTGCAATGTTGTTATGAGGTGAAACAAACTAGTTATTCTGAAGTGTACGTGGCAAACACTTATAATGTTTAGCTTTGAAATTTCCACTGGCCTTTTTCCAAAGTTTATTTTACCAACTCCACCTGCTCCCCCTGAAGGAACAAGCTCTGTATTGCCTATGATGTGTCTAAAGAAACAATGAGTATGTAAAAGCTATGATAAAATAAATAGTTTGTAAAGGTGAACACAAGGCTCACGTTCTGTACGAATGTCATGTTCATTAGACTTAACCCCCAGGTTTATTGAATTTTTGTCACTTAAATGGTCATATTACAGCATCTTTTGTGTTAAACTATGTAGTTATAGAAACTGTTTTCAGAAATTTTCTATTAAAATGTGCTTTTTTAGTTTTAGCATTTACTACTAGTTGTTGTCTTGTAAGATTTTTCTCCTAAAAGCATCACAATGACGCTGGTTGGGAACAAATGTCCATTACTGTGCCCAAGACAGGACTCCACTGGAAAAATGTTTTCCCAGATGGTTCATATTGGGGCTAACACACATTTTTATTCTCTGCAGATTTTCTATAGAAAAAGGAATAGCTGGACAAGTGGCAAGAACAGGCGAAGTCCTTAACATCCCTGATGCCTATGCAGATCCACGCTTTAACAGGTAGGATGTTGTTCATGGAAGGAGAAGGTAGCTCACCAAACATTTACTTAAATTTACTTCTTAAATTTAATATTAAGATGCATTCGTGGAGCTGTGATCCTCAAATGATGAGACAACCTATAGATATCTGTTTAAATGCTTTAACCATCAGAGATATTTTAAAGATACAAATATAAAGTATTATTTTTATCAAATATAAAAATAATGGAGAAAAATTCAGTCATTTTTCCTGTTACGGAACTTTGCCCAGTTAGGTAGACTGTTGCTGATTTTCTTTATTAGCCTCCCTGCAATCTGATTAATTTTAGGGGAGAAGAACAAGTTCACTAACAGGTAGCACGCTTAAGTACCTGCATGTATTCTTTAATTTTATGAATGAGCTGACTATATATTTGAGGGAATATTATTTTTTTTTTATCTTGTAAATGGAGATTAAGGGATTAAAAAGTTCTTTCTAAATATGGCACAGTAAATGGAAATATTTTGAGAGCTTTGGAGATGAACTTTTTGCAGGTACTAATTACATCTACTTTAAAACTATTTAGTATATTGTATAATGAAGAAATAAATATTAATTAATAATGTTAACTCTTTTTTCTTTTTTTCCTCTCTCTTTTCTGGCTCTCAGAGAAGTAGACCTCTACACAGGCTACACAACCAGAAATATCTTGTGCATGCCTATTGTAAGCCGAGGAAGCGTAATAGGTGTTGTGCAGATGGTGAACAAAATAAGTGGAAGTGCCTTCTCTAAAACTGATGAGAACAACTTTAAAATGTTTGCGGTCTTTTGTGCTTTAGCCTTACACTGTGCTAATGTAAGTTTTATTTCCAGTTTTGTAAGCTATTGGTTTTAAGGGGAAGACAGAATCCTGCATAAGGATTCTGATGTTCCAGATTATTAAAGCGATTCATAAGTCTGTTTTGTTGAATTAACAAGGAAACAGGAGTCATTGAATTATTTGCTGAATAGTTGTATTTTAAGAGGATGACAGGGATTTATTTGCTTTCTGAAATAATTGTACTATGGATGCATCAATTTTAGGTAGCTAAACTGAGAAAGCAAGCTCTGAAATGTGAATACTATCTGTCTGTCTTCTCTTTTCCGTTAGAAAGTATAATTCTTGTTTACTTTTATAAATTCAGATCACGTTTTACAGATTTAACTGGCGAACAGAGATGTTACATAGTCTTTTGATTACATATGCTTAATATTCAAAGAAATAAATGTATACATTTACGTGCTGTGCTATATACTCATGATTATCCATGCTTATAGATAGGAGCGGATAGCTATTTTTGTTTTCAAACCCTTTAGTGTCACAAAAAATACTATTCCTGTAGGAAGCATGAGCAATTTAATGATAGTTACTATATAAGTATAAAAATGCAATAAATGCAATAAAAATGCAATACAGAAGAAATGTATCCTATCCATGGGAGGTAAGATAGAACCAAAATGCCAGTTAAGCCAGGTGATTTACATTAAGCCATTTTTCCAACATCATGCTGTTGGTGTACCGGAGCAGCAAATTTTACTAACATTTACTTAAACTTGTTCCATAAGACCCAAGGCAAGTAGAAAGGCCTACATATAAATGAAACTCTGGACTATGCAATCACTTAGTTGTGTGTGAGTTCACTATATCTAGGTGGTGAACATTACCACTCAGGGCATATTGCTCCAGAAGATTACTAGTAAAATTGTGTCCTCACATGTTTACAACCCAGGCTATGTCTGCAATAGCTCTCAATAATTAACTGTAGTTATTTTTCAGTTATTGCATAGTAAACATCTCCTGTACTTTTTACTGGGCACAGGTAGCAGTTATTGATACTAATTAGTAGCTGAATTCATGCAGTGGCACAAAATATGAATTGTGGCCTGTTGTCAGTTTTCTTTCTGTTAGCAAACTGGAAGGGACTTAACTCTGTTTCCGACTCTTGAACTTTGATTCTTTTTCTTGGGAGAGCTCAGACACAGTGGAAAATCAGCTGAGCCTTAGGTGTTTACCTGAGTTGCGGAATAATGTGATAGGCCCATTTTTCCAGAAGCATTGAATTTCACATAATCTGTTGCTTTCTTAATATGTGAAGTTGAGCAGTCAAAATGTTTCTGCAGCTGTGTATTTTAAGAATAAGTGCTTGAATACAGAAAAGGAATGTTTTCCTTTATGAAAATTTCACGTCAATGAATGACTTCCCTTTTTCAGATGTACCACAGAATTCGCCATTCAGAGTGTATTTACCGTGTAACGATGGAGAAGCTATCCTATCACAGTGTTTGTACAGCAGAAGAGTGGCAAAATCTCATGCACTGTACACTGCCTCCACATATTTATAAAGAAATTGAACTGTAAGTATTTTTCTCATATACCGACAGTTGCACGTTGCATCAGTTAGCAAAGAAGGGTTTTTTTTGTTGTTGTTTTTTTTTTGTCTCCTAAGTGGAGTGAAGGGTTTTGTAGGAAGCGCACTTTTGTTATTGAACTGTCCCAAAATCGTAGGTGTTTATCTCTGGCTTTCTTATACTTAGTTATACTTAATGACCTGTGAACGAAATTTATCTGTCAAAGATGTAAAATATACCTATTCAAAATAGTAGCATTTTCCTCAGGCATGAGTAGCTACAGTAGTTGCCAAAGCATTAGTTTATCTCTAAGGGTTGTAGAGATGAGCTTTCTTTCTTTCTGATAACCCCAGGTTACCAACAGCTCAGAGACAGAGAGGAGACTGAGCTGGAATATCAGCAGTGAAGATCAAATGCATAATCTCATCCACTTGTATATGCTTTAGAATAAAAGATTCAGCTCATTCCTGGGATTTTTTTAGTTTGTGTGTTTTTAGGTTTGGGGAGGGGTTAGGATTTGGGTTTTATTCTTTTTTGGTGGGTGTGTTTTGTGCATCTGCCGGTGCTTCTTGAAGGAGGGGGAAATGGATACAAGTCTTCAAACTTTTGAAAATAATTCAGGGTTATAAATCCTAGGTGCCAGATTTTAGAGTTGCAGCCTAAATTTGGAGTAGGACTTCCCATCCTACCTGCTTATTTTCAGCTCTCAAGGGTCTGCCATGTACTGAAGACGTACCTCTATCTGTATTTTATCAATCAGTCCCCACTCAACACTAACACCAAGAGTCAGCTCCTTTTTAGTCAGTGTTTCTGGCCCAGGACAGTAAATTCTACTGTAGTGACCAGGTGCCTAAAATCAGAACTCTATGATGTTGAGTTACAGAGTCTATGTTGTCTTTGTAAACCTGATCTTCAGAGCTTGCTCGCTTCTGTCAGGCACCTGGCATTGTAGCTGTAAGTGAGCAAAGTATGCAAGCATATGCTTAAGAGGGCTGCTTACAGTTAAAGTTCATTACATGCTGAAGTGATTTGCTTGAAAGCCAGAGTATTAGCAGCTTGCAGGATTACACCCTAAAAGAAGCTTATTCTATGCAATACAATTTCTTGTGCTTTGTTAGATGATATTATGTAACCCACCTCCTCAGCAAAATTGACTTTTACTTGCAAAGATGACAGGTTTCATTCCAAATTCTATTAACATCCTTTAGTTTGAGCAATCTGAATACATTTAACCATTTTCCAAGCAATTCAGCTACCTCCAGCTCTCTTACACCTGCTGTGCTGTTCAGTATGCCACGTACACACCAGCGTTTAGCTGGGTTCAATGGGAAGTAAATAGACTTGCAGCACAGCAGGTGCTGGGAAAGGGGTTAATTAATAATTGAAGGACAAACAGTTCTGCTGAGTGAGCCCCTAAATATCAGGCCTAAATGTTGTTATCAGGAGAGAAGTCCTCAGCTAATGAAACGTAAAAAATGCAGTATTAAAAGTTGGATTTTTGAAGTTTGGGCATAATTTCTATTAACCAGTAAAAGTTGATTTTTTTTTTTTTTCCTCTGTGAAAATTAGAGCGCGTCTCTCAGAATTTGTGACATAAACTAGTTGAAAAAAGCCAGTAAATCTATTATTAGAGACACCATTTTTACAATTCCTGGGAGGAAAGTCTGGAATATTTTAGGAGTGCCTGTAGAGTTCTCATAATCCCTGTAGAACAAAGGGTTTTGTACATTACTTAAGCAATGGATTCTTAAATAAAGATTTAAGTTTCTATTAACTAAACAAAGCCAAAGGCTAGCCAAAGGCTAATGGTTGGACTCGATGATCTTATAGGTCTTTTCCAACCTAGATGATTCTATGATTCTGTGATCATAGCTCCATAAGAAATATATTAACTTACATTGCTAGAAAATATACTCTAAAGTTTTCTGTGTGTATTCAGAAACAAGTGAATGCTGTCAAATATACATTACCTAGACGTTTTTGTTTGCTTTTAGTAAGAATGAAAAGGTGTTTGTCCTTACTAAGCTGAAACTTTCTTCTTAGATACCACTTTGATATCAGTCCCTATGAGGATGTCTGGCCTGCCTTTTTTGTCTACATGGTTCATCAGTCCTGTGGGACAGCCTGGTATGAAGTACTTGATTTATTGCTTTAATTCTGTTATTTATGTGTTTGTCTATTAGGAAATTTTGAGATCATTATTTTCTAATCCAAGATCTTACTTTCTGTAGTATAAGTAGGCTAGATTTCTTGTCCCAGCTTATTTGTCTTTAGTTAATAAAATTTGAAAACAGCCAGGTAAAAGAACTCATATCATCCAAAGAGCTGTCCTTCCAATATATAGAAGTATTGGTTGGTTCTGAGATGAGATTGCATTTCAGACAGAAGATGGTGAAGATATTAAAGGCACTCTTGCCAAAAAGGAGAAAAGGTTCATGAATACAGATTTTTCAAATTAATCGTTGCTGAAATTAATATAGTATATGGTTAAAATAATCCAAGTTTAGATCTTATCTTGCTAAATAAATCAGTTATTGGCATCATTGTGCATTAATTATGAAAATGAATGATTTTCAAATGAAATGTTTCATTTTTTGTCCTTTCTCTCAGTGTCCATTATTGTTACTAAGATCTGTAGTCTCTTGCCTAGGTATGTCCTATCACTGAAAGGAAGAAACTGCTCCTAATTACAGAGAAAAATCTACAGATAGGCAATTGAAAGGGAAAGTATTTCCCTTCAAAAAAGAGCAGTGTTTGGGAAACATTTGCTAGTGACTGTTTCATCTTGGTAACTGGATGAATCTCCATGCCCTCAAAGCATACGCTCAAACCTGAGGGCTTTACTCATATCTTCTTCAATACTGCAGAGTGGATGACTTCTAAATACAGTTCTCTACTGCTTAGTGTAGTTCGCTTGTTTCTGTTCCTGACTGAATGGCTGTGGATGCAGGATTTGGGTTCAAATTTCCAGCTAAATTCTGTTCTTTTCCCTGTCTCTCTCTCCTAGTCTCTTTCTTTCAAGGTGTATCTTTGATGGGAAAGAATTGTTATCTATTTGGTGTTTTTCAAATTAGTCTCAGCATTCACATATAAATTTTAACTAAAGGGAGGAAAATATTTGAAAAGGAGGCTGTTAGGACTGGAATTATATTGAATTTCTGAAAGAAAAAACTTCTCAACCTACTGAAACAAGTACAGCTATTTCTAGGTTAAAATTTGATTTTGATATATTGAGGAGTAAGGTTGTGCCTTTAGGTATACACCTATGTAATGTATAACTGTTCTGTCCAGGGAGGATTTTGAAGAAAAATCTATGATACTCACTACATTATCTTAGTTCTCATGAAAAAAATAATCTTTTACTGTTTTAATCAAGTATATAAAATACAGCAGTGGAGGAAGTAATAGTATTCTATGTTGAGGTATCCTTGATAATGATTTTCCCTTTGGCTACAACTGTGCTATCCTGTAATAACCATTGAGTTAATATTTGATGTAGGTTGAAGTGACTGTTGCAATATTCTGAATTATGATGTACTATTTTAAACAGTAGTTCTAACAATTGTTTTAGAGCTGTCGGACTTAACTCTCTAGAATTAAAAAAAAACCCAAAACTTAAAGTTTTTTTTGAAAGACAATATGCCTCCATCTTTTACTAATGTCAGACTAAGGCTAAGAAGAATGACTGCCTTGTTCAGCACGCAATGATAGGAATACAGTTTTCTGTCTAATTGACTCCATATAGTAGATATGGTTTACATTTTTACATCTAGGTCAGAGGCAGCTTCTTATTCTCAACCGACATATAATGCAAAGCTGTAACATTAATACCGCTTCGGTACTGAGACAGCCAAACATGGAATGTTAAAAAAAGTCAAACCACAGTAACAGGACAAAAAATGAGAATAAAGGAAAATTTATCTGTTTATGGAGGGAAAAGTCAGTGACTTGGGACTCTGGCATCTTCAGTTCGGTTCTGGGCTAAAATGTTTTCACACCGGGCAGCTCAGATTAGGTACTTTAGAAAATTTTTCTTTGATAGCTAATCTGCGCCTGAATTTCCCATCTGTAAAGAGGAATTATTAAGCTTTCCTTTCAAAGGAACATTGATAGATAAGGTCTATTAAGGATTGGGTAGAGCTCTGGTACAGCAGAATATGAACTCTCTCAGAGGTGGTCTTGATGAGCACAACAATCAAACATAACTTATTACTGCTTTTTTTGTTATTACCTTAGTGAAAATACTCTTGAATCATGAATTAATTTTGCTTGCCTATATTAACAGAAAAAATATATAAAAAGTTATTTAAGAAATAATCCCATAAATGCTATAGATTTGCGGCATTTGTATGATTGACCAGCATTTACTTACAAAATACTGTTTGAAAAATGGAGAAACAGTGAAATGTGAAATTCTATGTATTTGGCCAGACTGAAAAAAAAAAATCTTAAAGTCTTGGAAAAAGTAAACTCTTCATGTCAGTATGGAGATCTCAACCTCCTTCACTCAAAACAACTCGTGGTTTGGCATTTGACTGAATTTTAATTTAAACAGGATTATTTCTTCTGTGTCGTTTGCTTAAAAAACACTGGTTTTTTGTTTTTATCACAAATGATGTTTTCAGATAGTCCATTAGGTGCAGAGTTTCACTATTTGGCAAGTTGAGTAGATAACAATTTTAAAAAATCACACCTAAAGTTTCTGGGAGCAGGGAAGGTTATGCAATTGTGTTGCCTGAGCTGGCTATCTTGACTTATGTTCCAGAACTTTACAGATTAAACTCAGAGTGTCGCCAGGTATCCATGCTCCTCTGTCCTTGCCAAAACTTGAATGACTCTTGTAATTGATGAGTCATCTGCAAGAGAGTCAATCCTAGCAAGAAGAGTAAATCAAAGGGCATCTTTTCTCCTCTGTTGGTTATTTTTGCCATTCTTATTTCTTACCTCTGACCAAATTAATTTATTTCTAGCTTTGAACTTGAAAAGCTGTGCCGATTTACTATGTCTGTAAAGAAGAATTATCGCCGTGTGCCCTACCACAATTGGAAGCATGCAGTTACCGTTGCACATTGCATGTATGCCATACTTCAGAACAACCAGGGGCTTTTCACTGATCTAGAGGTAGGTGAGATAATTGTATCAGTTACTAGACCTCATCAGAGGTATCAGCCATTGTAGAAGTCCAATTTCTATGCTAGAGTTTTGCTGTCAGGTTGGACAGAGTGTATATTAAATTCTCTGCAGAGGAATGGATGTGAGTAGAAAGCTTGAGGAGGAAGAATTATTCCAATTCCTAATCCTAGTGTTTCCTTCACATTTTTCAGGTCTGCCCACTGAAGAAATGGTAGCAGATTTGCTATAAGTCCATGTTTACATTTTGAGGTTCTCCCTGCTCACTTACAACCACAGTCTTAATTTTAATTATTTAACTAGCTGTCAGGTCTCTGCTGAGGGGAGGGAAGAACCCTGGATCTTGAACTCTGTGAGGACTGGGAGATCCTGAATAGGAGGACAAGAGAGAAGGGCCTGGTGTTGCAGAGATGGTCGATGTATGTGAGTAAAGGAGAAGAGTAGAAAGGCTGGAAAGAAAACAGTTGTCCAAATGTGCTAATTCACTGATTAACTTTTATTATACAATAGTTCTCCTTAGCATGTGTGTACATATTTTAAAGTTGATTGCATAGTGTTTTAAAAAATCAGGAAAAAATACTTTGAATAGATCACTAACTGGACAAGTTATAATAAAAAAACAGAAGGCTTAGGATGAGTAAATGTTAATATACACTATGAAAAACTGCCACTTTTTTTTTTTCTGAATTATGGTAGGTGCAACTGAGAGTGCTACCTATGATTAATACTACCTGAAACTTCTGACTGGGAGAACCTATTTTCAGTTGTGCATAACTTTGCCAAATACTAGCCATTTGGGCTCTAATTTTCTAAGCTTTGTGACTTCCTCAAGCTGATCATTATGGGAAATTTCAGCCCAATTTTCATTTGGCTCATTTAAAGAAACAGGCTAGGAGAAATCAAGTTTTTGTTCAGTAGATAAGAGTAAAATAAAATGTGGTGATCTTTTATTTGAAAAGGTCTAGTTTATTTTGCTGTAAAGCAGGGACTTGAAAATTGACACTGACATAGGAAAGTGGCATTTGTCAGTCATATGCTGAAATTTGGCAAAGCTATAGTAATTTGAAAAAAATCGGTATTCCTTTAACAACAACAATCTGTGAATTTGCAGCCTCAGGGAATATTTAAAGCTCTGATGACATCCAGTACTAACCAAGTAGTAAGCCCCATCTCTTTGGAGATGCAGAGTAAGAAAGGCAGGGAGAGCAAAAGAGGCAGCTGTTAAGAGAGATGGGGAAAGTCTTTGTTTCCTGCCAAACTCCAGCCAGCCTTCACCTGTTTTTATGCCTTATCCATATTGCAGCTCTTTCTAGCAGTCTCCTTTCTTGAGACGAGATGAATACAATGAGAATATAGGAAACTGCTGAAGGAAAGTTTGCGGTACTAGGATGGGGTGGTCTCAGGTGAGGAATGATGACATGAATCTCAATAGACATTAGAGGTGGGAAGAGAAGTATGAAACACTGTAAAAAGGGACTCTTAATCTGAAGACAAATAGATCCAGCAGTTGGCAGTGGTCAAAGACTTGGGTTCCAAGCAGGGATGTTAGGCACAAGGTCAAGAACACTGGGATTAGACATTGTATAACCCTGTGTCATGGTTTAGGGCTGGGCTGGCCACTAAATCCTGGACAGATGCTCTTTATTAACGCCTCTCCTCTCCTCAGAAGGGAAAAGAGAATAGAGAGAGATTTTATGGGTTGGAAAATAAAGCTAACAGATTTAATAAAACAATAATACCAATACTACAGGATAATAATGTAAATAGGAAAATAATAGAATATATGCAGATGTGTACAAATATATACAAAACCAATATAAAATCCTCCCCCATCCTCCTCCAATGACGATTACATCACCAGAGGCTCTGTGGAGCAGGGCACTGGAGAAGTCTCAGTCCGGACTCAGCAGCAGGTGGGAGCAGGATGTAGGAACCCATGGATTTGGATCAGAGGCAGATGAACTAGTAGGGTTCTGCTCAGATTTCAGGAAGGGTCCGAGATGGAAGGGTTGAGACCCTCGTGATCCCTTGGCTTTATACTGAGTATGACGTATGTGGGATGGAATACCTGGTTGGTCAGTTCTGGGTCTGCTCCTCGTAATTGCAGATACGGCATCCATGGTGAGACAGTGGCCTTGTGATTATCACTTGTAGAAGTACACACTGTCTGGAAAAACATGTTGTTAGTTTCAGCAAGTTCAGCCACTTAGAAGAGACTGAGCTGAAAAGTAAAATCACTAACTAAAAAAATAGTTCTATTTAGCTCAAACCAGAACACCCTGAAGGCCTGAGACGAGAATGAACTGAGATGAGACTGGGACAAGCTAGGCGGAGAACCATGTGATAAAAGGGACAGACTGGTAAGAATTGTAAGACCGGAAAAAGCACAGGTTGTCAAGGATGCAACAGAATTAAAGTTGTGGGGGAAGGACAGAAAAGCTTATGTCCACTAGATCCAACATGTGGCACAAAAGATTATGAGACTTATCTTTCTTTTGCTGTCAGAGACTGTTTTTCAAGTCTACTGGTTACATGTCTTTCCCCTACTGATAATATTGAAAAGGAGATACCAGCTTTCTACAGCTGTTACTACATGACTTCAAGTGTGTTCTGTTCGTAAGGATTCCAGTTATGCTGAGGATCTGCGTGGACGTGTGCTGCTGTGTCTGTTTCACTATGTGCTTTTTAAAAATGCACTTCACGAGACCCAGTATTGAAAAGACATCATTAAAAATAGGAGTGAAGGATTTAAAATAAAAGTTAAGATCAGAAGTATAGTTAGACTTGCTACAACCTGAATTTTGCACATTATATATTTGTGATGAAATCTTTAGTTACATCATAGTTTGCTATTTTTCCACAGAATCATGTGCCTCATAGTACAGTATACAGGTTGGTTGTTGCTTACCTAATAGGTGGTTAATCAATATTCTTTGTCTGCTTCATTTTATAGACTTATCCTTGTTTACTGAACACTCATCTGAACCAACTATAAGACAGAGCTGTTAAGTCTATAAAGACATTTTTGTGGTAGTCCATGCCAACAGCAACTGCTTCACAAACATTAATGAATGTGTTTTCAAAACACAGCTGCTATGTGAAAAACTTTTTCAAGTGTTCATGTACTTTCTGTGTTGAAAGAGAGATTTCAGGGACTCTATTTCTTCAGGATATTAAGAGTTAATGAAGCAAAAATAAAAGCCAGTTGTCATCTGTCTTTCTTTGTAACTGCTGTTGTGTGGCTCACATTAGGGAGTTCCTGGGAAAAGTTTCACCTAGGAGACTTGGTCAATGTCTTCAAGGAGTGTTGCAGAGGCAGGGTTAGCATTGAACTTTTGCACAGCTGCTGTTACCAGGAGATCATACATCTTATGTAGTTCCTCTCCCTCACTAACTGCACTTTCAGTTTTTTTAATAAAAATAGTAAGGCTTCAGTGGATGACCAGGCTATCTATTTAAAACGCAGATTCTTTCCTGAAGCAGAATCCCTCCACTAGTATGTGATTGTGCAACAAGGTTGGGTTTTTTTAAGTTCATAATATATACATTGTTTGAATTACAATTGGAATGAGAATTTTAATTCAGCATGTCTTCACTTTCCTGTTTCTCACAATTTTACGGGCATTTCTCCATGTACTTTTTGAAGGCAGTGTAAACACAGTGCAACTTTTACAGTATTTTGGGAAGAGAGTGACATCTAGGGGCAGGAAATACATCTTACTTTTCATGTTTATCTCAAATTTTTTATAGCGAAAAGGTCTTTTAGTTGCATGCCTGTGTCATGACCTGGATCACAGAGGTTACAGCAACAGCTATCTTCAGAAATTTGATCACCCCTTAGCTGCTCTCTATTCCACATCAACAATGGAACAGCACCACTTCTCGCAGACTGTGTCCATCCTGCAGGTAGGATTATTGAAATTGTATCTTCCGTTCAGTAGAGTCCAGTGGTGGAAATAGGAGTCGCATCATTACCCAGTAGATTTTCTGAAGCATGCTTAATTTAATTTCTGGATTCCAGTGCTCATTTAGAAGTGTGGAAGATTTATTACAGCAAGGTGCATTCTACAAGTAGCAACCCAAGCATGCAGTACCGGTGCAAAACATAGCTTTCAGAAAATCTCACTGTTATTAAAAATATTGTCTATTTGAAGGTCTTTTATTATAGCCTTCCTTTGGAGCTTTTAGCTTCTGAGTCAATTAGGGTTTTTCCTGTGACCATATGGAACTTTGAAAATGAAAAATCAGTTTCTCAGTTAGGTATTTCTGCCATAATGTGCTTCAACAAAGTCTTCAGCCATCCTGAAATTCTGAAAAGAAGCTCAAGTGCTGGCGAAAGTTTGTATGAGAAGCTTGAAAACCTGCTGTAATAAATTCTGTGAACATAAATGTGTGGCATGAAGGAGGAACTGTTAACTGCACGCATGAAAAGTTTAAACTTGTTTCATTGTGTTGTCATGTGCTTTTTTGTTATTCAGTAATTTGAAATGAAAAAAACTGAGTAAGATAATATTCTATGAAAGGGTTCCTAATATGAAATGATGCGTCTAAACATTTAATGTAAAGAAAACTACAAGAAAGCACACATTTTAGGAAATCCAAGTGTGCTGCTCTCACACAAATATTTTCTCATCAGTGAAAATCTCTTTTCATGCTCAATTAGAGGAGTGAAAACTCTCATGTGTGAAACCTCTGCCAGTCCATAGCATACTTGTGCTCACTGGTTTTAGTCTACCATGCAGATGCTCGATGCACAGCCTTACCATGCTACTGTGCCACTAATTCATTGTTAACTTTTCTTTCTTTCTGGTCTTTCAGGGGGAAGATACTTATTTTCTAAAATATTTAATCAACTTTTAGGAAAAATACATGTCCTATATTGTATTCAGAAGCACATCTTGTGATTATGGTTTTAGGTATCATATGCATTTCATCAGAGAATGGAAGCTTTATCTCTGAATGGTCCTCCATGTAGGAGGATGTAATGAAACCTTCAGTGGTGGTATGGCATTAGATTTTTAGTATTCATTCTTCATGTGAGTTTGTGCACTGTGAGCAAGTCCCTCAGTCATTAACACTTTGTCCCACTATGGCTACATGAGGCAGACTTCAGTCATTCTTCAAAAACCACTTTGCATTTTCCCTGCAGAAATGTATTTGTTGAAAGTCCCATTTGCCAAGAAGACAGGGAACTCTTTTGCCTCCCTGCTAACTCCTAGCCTTGAGTGAGAAAAGAGACATAGGTGGTCAGGGCTATCCAATGGATTCAAACACTGCCTACCCAGGGGCTCATGAGTAGTGATTAGCAGCAAAGGAGATTAGAGCAGCATTTTGGACTTGCTGTTTTTAACTTCAATCAAAAAGCCATACTGGATTCCTGAACTGTTACCAAAAAAAACCAAACCCAAACCCACCATACCCTTAGGGTTTATCTCAGTGAGTTTTAATGTTATGTTAGTAACCTCCAGTACTTTTCACTGTTGAATCTTTGTAGCTGCTTTTCTCATCCACCTGCAGTTCTAGTGTATACCATACTTGCCAGATGCAGAGGATTCCATTTACTAGCTTTAGCTCAGCAGGGAAAGACTAAAATCTTAGGAGCTGTACTTCATATGTACTACTCAAAAGCCTAAGTGACATTCTCAGAAATGACAACTTCCATCACTACTTAAAGGAATAAAGTGTTTTTTTTTTTTCTATCAGTATGAACAGAAGATGTTACAATGTGCTTGATAATGCAGCTTCTAAAGCCTAAAGGTGATGACTCCAAATCCGGAGTAATGTAAATATTACGACAAACAGGGGAAAGGGTCCCCAGAACCCTGAATAATTTAAATTAGTAGTCATCATTTGCTGTTCCCAAACTGTTGATGATGACTAAAAATGTTCTGAACTTTTTTAAAGATCATGTTCTGCGACTTAGGATGCTGTCAAAGGAGCACTGAGGTGTAGAAGAATTGTATTTTCTATTCACAATTCACAATAAATGTACTTGTCCAAGTAAAACTGTTGGAAATGACATTTACGTTCCGAATGTTGAGAGCAACCAAGCCTGTTTATGCTACGAAGGATTTATTTTGAACAAATTATGTAAATGCTTGACAAAAGTCAGGGAAACTTTTGATGAGCTTCAGCCCAAGTGCCAATTAAATGTCAAAACACATCTGCATTTGATGTATTTTAATAATATTTTCTATTTGTGAAGGTGCATACCTTGACATGGCTGGCTCATTCTTTCTTAGTTTTTGCTGTTTCCTCTCAACAGTAGGAAGACTTTTGATGAGTTGTTTTCCAAATCTCAGAGACAGTGAATAGTGTTGACTTTTCAATATGTGATATAGCTTCATGAGCGATCACAGTACATGGATATTGTCAGTTAAATGCGTAATAATAAATAGTGGAAATAGAAAAGGAATGACAGTGGCGTGTTGCCAGAGACTCCATAGTGGAAACTATTGTCTTTACTTTATGAGTCAGTCCATTCATGATTGAACAAAGCAGCTTTTTCCCCTAAATGTTCATATACATTAAAGTACTGTAATTAACTTTATTTCTATAGAGAAAATTGTATCAGTAAATGCAGCAATTTCAGGCACATTTCATTTGGAACACTATGAGAACAAAATTATTTTAGTCCTTTAAACTGGTTATTTCCTTATCCATATTATATGTTGTGCCGTGTTAAGTCAAAATTGTACTTCAGAGTGAATCAGACACTGAAGTTTACCAACTTGACAATGCAGTACTCTGGATCAGGATTGAATCACAAGTTCCCAAGCTAATACTGTCTGGAAGTGCTGTGTCTTCTGCTCTGACTTATAAGCACTACAAAAGCTAGCATTTTTTGCTATTAATACCTTTAGGCTTCAGAAGGAGCAGTCCCAAAACCAAATCAGTGGCTTAGTCATAAGTTTCATGACAGTATTTAAAAAGGAAAATAAAAAATGGGAATTTCAGGCTGTCAGCATTTGACTTTGCAATAGAAATTGTAATTGGGCTGTAAAATTGTTGTAACCTGTCTGGTGAAGTAAAGACTGAAATCATCTCAGAATTAGAGCTTGTGCTTTTTATTGGTTTTTTACTTTTTCATAGCTGGAAGGGCACAATGTCTTCTCCAATCTGAGCTCCAGTGAATACGAGCAAGTACTTGAGATCATCCGGAAAGCCATCATCGCCACAGACCTTGCCCTGTATTTTGGAAACAGAAAACAGCTTGAAGAGCTGCATCAAACAGGAGCATTAAACCTTAAGAACCAAGCACACAGGTAAAGTAACAAACCAGTATTATTTCCCTATGGCATTAGTCCTATAAAGAAAAAACTTATTTTTGCAAAATATAGCTAAGAATTCTAAGTAAGAAAAAATAATTCTGTGTACACCGTAGTTTTCTTACCTATTTCTTACTTGTTTCTAAGATCACCTATGTTTAAAATTCCAAGTGTGTAACAAGTAGGCATTCTTGTGTAGTTTTCTATGAATGTGATTGTGCAGAGGATAGTCAATGAACTCTGGTTGCCAACAATGCAGGGAGTACTACAGGGAATATAACATACAATTTGTGTGATGCCTTACCAATGAATTGTAAACAAATGCATAAGAAATAAGCATGGCGAGGGAAATTTTGTAGTGTGTATATACTTTACTGCTGATTGAACTGAGGAAGGGCAAATAAAAGCTTTGTAGTATGATCATTAATTCTTTACCAAACGTAAAATTTAATGTTATTTCATTTCAGAGATAGAGTGATCGGTCTGATGATGACAGCTTGTGATTTGTGTTCTGTAACAAAGTTGTGGCCTGTTACCAGACTGACGGCCAATGATATATATGCCGAGTTCTGGGCTGAGGTATGTGTGTTTCTTTTGTTTACTTTCTTTTCCTTATAAATGGAAGTATCCAGGAAGAAAAAAGCAACCATAAGTATTTTCAATCAATATCTTACTGTGTTTGTTTTAAAGAGTGTTCATTGGTGCATGCATGTGTTTTGTTGTTTACTCTGAAACTATTTAAAGAGCTGTGTTAGCTTCCTAATTTACAGTCAGCATTTTTTCTCTCTATTAAAGAATTTTGAAAGTATGTCCTAACATTAAGTGACCAAGCAACAGAAAATGGAAGAAAATCTGTAAGGTTTTTTGAGTCACTAGCTGTAGTTTTGTGAAGAATCTATTTATAGTATAGAAATTCAAAATATGAAACCCACTTCCAGGTCAGCTGCCTTGAAGCACACTTACAAAGCTGTAGTATGAGTCCAGAAAATGCTGAGATAAACATGACAAAACTTAATCCTGTTCTGATTTGACCATTTGAATCTTCCCTGTGAGCCAAGCTCAACAACTGGGTTTCAGAGCTGATTTTTTTAGTCTACTGAAAGTCACTCTACAGATAAGATGTACTGAGAATTGTAACAAGGCATTGAGCTGTGTTAATGTTCATAAATGAAGATGCAATCTCTCACATCTTACACTGAGGAGTAAATATACTAATAATTTAATTTTTAAAGTGAAAGTGACTGCTTTAGGGACATAAGGAATAAATTCTGAGGATGTTCCATACAATTGAATGCAGTTTTAAACGTACACTGTATTTTAATATTTCATATTAAGTGCTGTTGCAAATATGTACGATAAAGTGTTGTTCTTTGTTGTTATGTGCCCTGTGGAAGTCTGCAGAAATCAGTGGGCTTATTTCTTTTTTACACAGGTGTAAAATGGAAATCAGGCCCAAAGAGTTGATGTAGCATGCATATAGTGTGGAGATCGTTGTCCTGCCTGTTGCATGTTCATTATGAAATTCAAGATGTGCATGGCTTGTGGGTGTGTTTTGTATTTACATGTTCTCTTAATTCTGAACAGTACAGACTAAAATATTTGAAAAATGCACACTGCATAAGCTTAAAGATCTAGTTCAGTACTCACTTTCTAAAATGTCAGCACTGGAAAGTGAGTGTTTTTACTGAATCTTTTTTAAGAAGAGGTTAACTGATACATGGCAGAAGTTGGGTATGTTGAAATCCAGTCAGGATAGCTGAAAAATCCAGGTCTAAATGCTTCGGGAAAACTGGAAAGCTAGAGACAGATGTAGGCAAAATCCTGGGAAAGCTAAACCAGTAGAAAGTTTAGATTGTATTTAACTGTAGAAGTTGTTAGTTAATTGGGAAAAAATGTAAACTCTACAAAAGTATATTTGACAAGATTGGATGTTTATGTTATGGTTCTAAAAGCTGCATAAAATGTTGCTTCTAATTACTAATTGAGTTCATAATTTATATGTTGAATGATTTAATCAGAACAGTTTTATAATACTACTTTGTGTAATCATTAACTAAAACAGTAACTGCAGAAGAGGTTGCAGCAATTTTGTGCTATGTCACACTAATCTTTTTTCATTGAAGGAAAGTCAGAATAGCTAATGTTTTTAGCTAAGATTTACCTTGATATCACTTGAGCATGAAGCTTTCCCACTGCTGCAACTCAAACAAAATAAAACATTTGCTGATCAATTGTATAGGATTACCAGCCAGTATAAGATTTGCCTGCTGTGATTTTTTTTTTATTATTTTTGTGAGATGTGAGAGGCTAGGTAGTGGTTTAACACTTTCTGCAGTGCTTTTTTTTAAGAGACAACTTATAAACTACTTATTATAGCCATACTGCATGTACGATACAAATTTCTTTGCTTAAAGTTTCAATTTTAACTTACTGATCACGATCATAAAAATGAGAAAAGCAGTATTTTTTACAACAGTGTATCATACATGCATTCACACTTGACGAACACAAGAAAACACTATATTAATCAAAGATCTTAAAACTATATGATTCTAAATGGTTTAGTGTTGAGGTTCTTATCACTGAGACAATGGTAGCTGCAGACGTTCCTGGATCAATCAATTGCAGTACTTCAATCATATGGAAAAAAATTAATTATTTAGTGGAGGCACGTAAAAGCAAAATTTGCTTACAGTTCCTAATTAACAGTACACTAAATTTCTCTGCTTGGAATTGCTGCAGGCAATTTTCTCTCTTGAGGAAGGAGGCCTTCCCTTTTGTTTTCTTTCAACAGTAAAATGTCTAACAGAGACTAGATTCAATTATTCTGGCCTCTCTAACTACTTAAAGAAAGAAATAGTACAGACATCAATTAAAAAGTAGCTTCCTGATTACATCTCTTATTGGTTAACTGAGCAGGATCATAGTTAATAGGTAATGCTGAGGCCAAATGGGCAAGAGTGAACTGACTTCCAGAAACCTCCATCTTTTCTGCCCTCAAGGTAGTTGCAAGGCAGCCAAACAGAAAGATGGTCTACTCAGACCAGAATCAACTTAACTATGTTGCAAACTTCTCTATGAGTAAAGGTGTCAGTCTTGCCTTAGAAGGGCACATTGGCATGTGAAACATGGCTTGATAAAATCTTATGAGAAAGGTGTAATAAATTGTCTTTAGGAGGTGCCTTCACTAACTGTAGCAGAAACATAGAACATAGATTTAGGGAACGTCCCAAGCTTTGAGGTAGCTGAACCTCTCTAAGCTGAATCTCACATTAAAGGACAAAAATAAGCAAATATTACATGAACAGTTATCATGTATAAGCTTTCTCCCTAAGATGTATTGGGTCTGGCTGGGATGGAGTTAACTTTCCCCATAGCAGCTCTCATAGTGCTGGCTCTGCCTCTGTCAGACATGGGGAAAGCTTCTGGCATCTTCTCACAGAAGTCACCCCTGTAGCCCCTTGGCTACCAAAAGCTCACCATGCAAACCTGATACCTGAGGTTAGCAGTTTGAAGATCCCATTGACTTTGGAGTCTCAGACATGAGTAGTAGCCAAAAGCAACCAATTCTACGACTGTATTTGCCTTTATAACCTCAAGATTAAACATCCATGGTGATTTGACAATGGAGTTGAGGCATAAGACTATTGGAAAACTTTAATTTGTTACAGAAAGTAGCCAGCTACTTACGGATTTTTAAGGAGTAATTGTGTTCAGGCCCAGTATAGTGCTCAGAAATGTGTTTTGGCTGCTCTGGTGGTAATGGGTGAAATATAAGGAGGCAGTTTTCTCTTTTACATTACATATATCTGGTCTTTGGGTATACTGCATCTTTCCCAGTATTCACCTGATGAACGTAGAGGAATAACATACTTAAAAAAAAAGAAGGCTGTTTGGCAGGTGGCTTCTTCAAAGCAGCATAGTCAAAAAGATTGCATTGTTGTCAAAGAGAGCACATTGTAAATGCGTCTATTTTATACAGCTTTTCCATGGACAGGTGAGTTGTGTTCTACTGGTCATTGTATTACAGTGCTTTAAACAGGTAATGTTTTGAAGATGATGCAACTGTGAATAGAACAGAATAGAAAGAACCAATTTCTTTGGTTTTATTCTTTCAGTTGCTTTTTGTTATGGAGATGCCCTTGGAAACAAGGAAGATATGTGTACGTTGACTTAAAAACTTAATTTTTAGGATCTGCTATTTCAGTATCTGCTACTATCATTTAGGTGAATGTATAAAATGAGCCTCTCCTTAGGCAGTTTTCTGAAATTGCCTTGGACCAGTACCACACATTATTTTAAAATCTGGATTTTTAGACTGACATACAATAGAAGATGGTAATGAATTCATATCTCAGTAGTCTTGATTTTTGTTCTAATCTCTCTCTCTGCTTTTCTCCAGGGTGATGAAATGAAGAAAACGGGTATTCAACCCATTCCTATGATGGACAGAGACAAGAAAGATGAAGTCCCTCAGGGTCAGGTATGAACCCTCTCAGTAAAATGATACATGTTTATAGTGTTAATATACATGTATGGAAAAAAACACTTTATATATTAGTGAATATTGCATTTGACATTAGGGTGTGTGGGCTGCTCAATTCTATGTCCTGCATGCAAAACAGGGTTAACTTTTTTAAGTAGCAGTGGAAAATTTGTTTTCAAATGTTTACTTAAATGACAATGTGCTCTTCGCTGTTGTCACCTGTTCCATTCTTTGTAATTGTAACTCTAGCTAAAACCACAATCAGCTATGATTATGAAAAGTGTCAATAACACTTTTTCAACTTAGTAAGTGGTTGCTTCAGCCCTTAGCTAAAAAGTTTCACTGTTTTATCCTAAATGCAAAGTGAACATCATCACCTGTTGCTGCTTAAAATATTCAGGTTTGGATTTCAGAACATTTGTGACTTTAGACCAATAGGTCTTCATGAGTTTTTTTGATAACTACAACCACTGCTTTTTGACATTCCTAAAAATAAAAACAACAAAATTATGTGATGAGGGTAAGCAATTAAGGATGTATTTCTAAGAGCCTGAACTGTCCTTTTTTTGTAGTATTTGGGTACTGATTTTCCTGTCCACAAATGTGCAGAAATAACTGCTTCTTTTATGTTTTCCCCTAAGGAAAACTGTTATTTTGGAAACATAGATCTGAGGGGCGAAAAAAATGTCTTTGAACTTATTTTTTGGGTAAATGAAAAAGATAGCTTGTCCTTTGATTATCTGAGCAGAGAAAAATTAAATTTAAATTGTCCATTCTTATACATATATATTTATAAGGTTTTTTAAATTTCAGTCGCCTCTGATGCTTTGTCAGTAGTTAGCATTCACAAAGCATTTAATGAACTCTGAAATTAACAATACTGCTTAAAATAAATTAGAAATGACAAAGTATCACAAAATCATAGTAGATTAATTACTTCATAAGCAAGACTATGGAAATTTTTATATTCTGACATTTTACTTCATATGCTTTACAATATTTTAGCATAAAAACTATCACCCTTATTATAGTCAGGAATTAGCAATTCGTTTTTCAAATTTTTGTTTAGTGTAAGCCTAAAAAGAGAAGAAACCTTTTTCTGCATTTGGTTTATTTTTCCACACACTGTATTAGTTATCTTTGAACATCATGAAAAGTACACAGTATTATACTGTGTAATCATCTTGGCATTTGTGAAAGAATTGTTAATGGGGTGAAAGCTGTTAACTAAGTTGTTTTTTTTTCTCTTGAAAACTCAGTCAGTATTGTTCCAGGTACTCTCTTCATCAGGTTCTTTTTTACTTTGTGCTCAGTTTCATGCCTCTTAATAGTACAACAATAAAATATTAAGCAAAATAGGACTTTAAAAGCCAGCTTCAGTAGTATAGTTGTATATATGTTACAGCAGAATGTGAGATTTAGGACATACGTAGTTCTGTGAAAGTAACCATTCCTATATTTATTTGGAGACTGAAGAATTTAATGAAGCATTATCATCCATTTCCTTGAGCTCAAACAAAAAACATTAATGAATATTTTAATGTGACTTTTAATTAAAGCAATAATACCTTATTTAAGTGACAATGATGTTTAGGAAATGAGGATTTGTATAAACTTGCAATCTCTGAAAAAAAAATTCTGCCTCAGGTACTCATCTTTGATTACATAGCTTGTGCTTAGCTCTTCCTTTCACTTGGGTGGCTGGATCTGTTGGTCTCTGTTGTGCTTTACACACTTCGCAGCACAGCTCATGTGAGGTCTCTGAGTTTGATGTCTTCCCACTGTGGAGCCTGTGCTGAGGATTTGTTCCTGACTCAGCAAGGACCCCATCACCCTGTTTTCTACCCCTCCTTTTGGAACCTGTGAAGAAAACAGAATTGCCAAAACTATGCAGTGACTTGAAAGCCCCTTTAATAAGCAAGTCAAGCCAGTCTGAGTAATGAAGGGAGAGAGAAGGAACAGTTCATATGCTTCAACCATTCAAAGCTATCTCAGAATTACAGTTTTCCAGATGAAAATAAAAAGTTTACTGTTACACAGCAAGGATTAAAATGTTAAGGGTGATTTCATACTTCAGTCAGGACATTAAAGATCCAGCTCTTAAAGCTAGCAGTATATTTGGGATGCAAAATTGGAGAGACAGGAACAATTTATTTCAGAAACAAAAGATTATGCATCTGCTTATGCATCTTTAGGATATACGTACACTGCCTTTCCTGCAGTGACTTCAACAGTTTGCTCATACCTAAGCGAACTCTAGGCATTTTCTCTAGCCACAGCAACATAAAAATCAATCTGGAATAATTTATTCAGATAATCTAAACCTTTTACAAAAGGGATTTGTGAGAATTTGCTCTGGTCAGAAACGGAAACTTGCAAAGGAATGTTTTAAATTAGCTTGGATTTATTCAAAATTTAAATCTGTTGAGCCTTTTAGGCTTTTTCCTCCTTGATTGATGTGCATTTTAATTTAAAAGCTTTCAGGACCTTAATAGACATATTTTATTCTAAATATCGGAGTTCCAAAGAGATGGTTGTTTGGAATATATTGCAGATGAACTTAGTTTGGTTGAAAACTTTTATGTTTTGTAATGGCAACGCACTTCTCTTTGAGACAGAACGTATACAGTGTAACTGTACCTAAAATCCCATTTTAATTTTTTATAGCTGTGGAGTAATCTGCTATTTTCCATTGAATAAAATGGTTGCCCTTATACCAAACAAACAAGAAAAAAAAAACACTCAAGAAAAAAAAAGACACAGAAAGGAAACAATGCACTATGCAAAATAATAAAAGTTTTTGGTTGATGAGCAGACATTATGGCTGCGTGCAGCCTTGCCTTCTCACCAGCTGTAGTTTCTTTCTGTTGGTTACATCATGATTACTTCAACTCAGTCTGTTGGATTCTCAGGTCAGAAAATGTATTTTTCTTACTTTTAAAGTACAGAATGGACTCGGTTACATAGCAGTATGGGAGGAATCTCTGTAATGATGGAGAGGAAACAAGAGTTGCTGCTTGATTTCTGAATACAGGCCAATGTTTGGCCTGTTAAAAAGAGACTTATCAAATGCCTTGGTCACAGTACAATACATGGCATATCACTAAAAGACATTTAAAAACTCTGTCCAAAGGAAGGCATCACAGTGCACTACTGTAACTATCATGAGAGTCTGGGATAAATGAGTGATGTTATAATGGATCTGAATTTTAACCTGTCATCCTTGCTAATATATAAGTAACATTTTCTAAAAATTCCCTCGTGTCATGACAATTCAGCTGTGAGATGGTAACTGTCATAGGCCCCTAAGCCTGTATGAATCGGGTATCGTTAAAAAGGTACTCATTTGATGTTCTCTAAATAGTTTTGTATGATAATGGTAAAAATACATCACCGAACTGCATACATGAAAAGAAATTGCAAACCAATTATTGATCGCAGTCCACACCTTTTAGACATTTTCCAAGGTGCAAAGGCCCTAGCATCTCAAGTAAATTGAACTACAGAATACATACTCTTGAGGACATCGGAACAATCCAGAATCTGACCATATTTTGGCAAAGGTGCACAACTTTCCTTAAAAAAAAATAATCATAACGATAATGTTTGCAGAAATGGCTCCGCCAGCTGCGTCTACTTCCTTGTCACTGCTGACACCAAAAAAGCCAGACAGAGCCTCAGCGGATCAGTTCTTTCAATTGCATAATAAAAGGTCCTGTAGCATATCTGATCTGAAGCTGCTATATTAGACATAAAAGAGGCATGTAAGCAACTTGTAATTGCCAGCAACCGTTAATGCTTCATTTTAAAGTAGTCGGATATTAAGAAGAGATGCAGACGTATGAAGTACTAACGTAAGTAGTAATTAAGTAACCAGTCAACACCTTTGAGCTAGTTGGCTGTTAACTTCCAGTTTTTTAGTTTGGCAACATTTAACTATTATTTTCATTATTGTTTTTCATAGATTGGGTTCTACAATGCTGTAGCCATCCCATGTTACACCACACTTGCACAGATCTTTCCTCCAACTGGGCCATTACTCCGAGCATGCAGGTGAGTAAATGTGCAAGTTTTTGCATAGCATGTAGCTTGGTTAAAAAAAAGAAAACATGCTTTGCAAGTTTGTCTGGAAATACACTTTTAATTTTTGAATTTGCCTGCAGACAAACAGGGATGCACATCTCACATTAATCTGTATAGAAACCAGAGGCAATAACTGCTGCCTGTGTCTGTCCAATGCAGATCTACAGACACAGCTGATTAAAATGTGTTTGATGTCAAAAACATTTAGAGAGAAACAGGTTAAGTCCTTATGTATCCCTATCTAGGGCTGGTTCAGTGCAATTTCCCCGTGTCCTTTTTACTTCAACATGGTATGCACAACTAGATTTGTCTAGTATTCTATTTCATTAAAAAATGTTGGCATGTGATTTTATTTCATGTTAGAATATTTTTATTAAAAAGTAGGAGATAAAGATTCCCAGAATATTCAGTAGTTGAGAGCATAAAGGTAGTACCACTGGGATGTGGGAGAGGCAAATGTAATTTTTTCCTATTCATCAGTTGGGATGTAGCTTGGGATCTTCTGAGGAGAAGCAAGGGTCCTTAACCAATTGACTGCTTCTACCAGTGGTGGTGGATCACTTTGTAGGTAGCTCTGTCCAGTAATTATATCCACTTCAGCAATTTTTCCTAACAAAACTTCTGTTGAAATCAGCGTGCTTCATTAAAATGTTCCAGGTTCAGGTTAATCAGTATTCTCTAAAGAAAAACAGTTGGTTCATTGCCAGCAATCTTCAGTCACATCCATGGAAAAGAGGCCTGTTTTTTATGTTCTTAATAGCACCTCTCTAATAATAATTTTTTTCTCTCGTGGTCCTTAAATTCCAGCTTGCATTGAACTTTTTCTTTGTCCTGTATAGCAGATCTACCTACTAAATGATCTGTGTGAAGTAACAGAAGGGCACCCACTATGTACAAAACACTGTGAAATTTAACATAGTGGTTAGCAAAATGATTTCATTTGCACCAGAACAGTACTTCATACAGCTGTGAGAAGAATATGTAGGTCTGTACCAGCGGGACAGAGGACTATCTTATGAAAAACAGTGAGGATCTAGGAGCCATTGTTAATAGTGGGCTGGTAAAAACTACTTGAAGCCCAAAGGTTCAAACGAGGAATGTGGTGAATGTCTTTTTTAGCATTTGGAGTAATATCAGTTGAAGTTCTTAAACCGAAGTTAGGTATATTTTTTAAAAGAGAATGGTAAATGGGATACCGGTCTGAGGCACAGTTACAGTCATGAAGTTACCAAGGCCTGTATTTTCCAGGCAGTTGGGCTAGGTGATCCTTAATGTAGTGTTTTTCATCCTTAGAAGCTATGAAATTAACCATGTCTGGTAAATAATAGGCAGTAATTTTTTATCCTAAATTAAGTAATGTGGAAGCAATTGTAAGTGCGTATTTCAGTGGTTCCATCAGTTACAATATAACATCAAACTCTTCTCTAGTTTCAAAATGCCGTGCATTGTGCTACTGTTATAATGGTATCAAAGTCCAAATGCTGTTTTGGCATTCAGACTTACAGTATGGAGTAGGAATGTTTACTCCCTGAGATGTGTTGACCTAATACATTTGTTTTGATAGTTTGATAATTGAATAATGTGTATTCTGACAAATAAAGAGGAGTTACTTTCCGTGTGAAATCAGAGAACATGAAGTAAATTACAGAACTGCTTGTAATCCTTTCAGTCTTTACAAGGTCATGAATCATCCAGCTGATTTACTGAGAGGTAGTCTGAGATCTTGGAAGTTCTTTCTCTTTGTAATACTTGCTTGAAGGCACGTTGCTTTGGCTGCATTGATGGCTGAAAGCTAAATGGTCTGTTATTTGACCCATGTAACTGGAACACAGATTATGCTTTGAGTAACCATGTTCTGAGTCAGAAAGATTTTTATACTGTTCACATGGACTAAACAGCATCAACTATAATGCCTACCACTGGAAATGCAGTAATGCTTATCAGGAGTGTGTCCATTTACATGCCTACTTGAGCTAACAAATATTGTCAAACTGCTTTATATATGTGAATTTTTTATATTTATTTTTTATTACTTATTTGTCAACACCTGGGTGTACTTTATTCCCCAAATCAGTATCTATGCGCTTTTAACATGGAAATGTCTTCCGGAGTCTGTAAGATTAATAAAGTAACCTCAGTGTTGGATTTCATCAAAGTTCTGTTACTAGCACAGTCAAATGGGAGGTCTTAAAAATGGGTTTGTATTTACTGTAGAACCATTTGTGTAAGTCTGCAAGTACCTTTTAAAGAAGTTAGCATTGTTATTTCACTTAATGGGAACTGAGGCTTTGAGAGGCTGGGTTGAGTGTTTAAGACTGCACAGCATCTTTTTGAGGAGCAGAGTTCTAGGAGGACCCATATCTTTTGATTTCTGGCCACATGGATATCCAAGTGAGGCTTATTTGCAATAGTGGATTATAATACTTGATGATCCGTCTTTCAGTACTCAGCTAAAGAGATTTAATGTTGAACTGTGGACTATCAAGCACCCACGGGTGTATGTGTTCTAGATGAAAGATTCTCTGTGATTCTGAAGATTAAGCATGAAAATTTTTCCCAGAGTGGATTTCTCTGCAAAAGGTGTGACGTCAGACTCCTGGCACAGATTATATGAAGTTTTCCTATTCTAAAAAATATGTTTGTTGTTTGGAATTCCAGTTATAATACTGATACTTCTGAAAGCTACATTGGCACAGTCTGGGCACAGCTCTGTACAGACACAGCTCCCCACCTTGCTCTTGTGCATACCTTAATTTAGATTGCAGTGATGCAGAACTGGGGCATAGATGTATGAATGAGGTTTAAGATCTTGGTAACACTAAAGAGCTTCCTGAAAATCCACACCCTGGCATAAAGTCTTCTGAGGAGCAGTTCAATAGTTTTAGCTTAGCCTTGAAATTACCCTCTGCTGTCTGTTTGAGAAGGTTGAGGAGGAAGTGTTGAGAGTTCAGACTCGGAGATGCAGAATAGAAAATCAAGAACACAGATCCAACTTCAACTTTCCAATTACTAAAATGTGTATTGCTGCAGGGTTTAGGTTGCTTCAGAGCGTTCCAAACACCTGATTTGGCACTAGACTTTTTTAAATTTTATTTTTGATGGGTAATGCTTATTCAGTGTGATGAGAGGAATACAGCCTCATTCCTGTTTGGCATTACCTCAGCTGCTGACTGTACCGATTTTGATATCACCCCTTCACCAGCAGTGCTTGTTCTTTGAACACAGTGTTTAAGCTGCCGTGTCCTTGAGTTGTTTGAACTGTGGACACCAGCTGCAAATAATAGCAGCAGAAGCAGCCAAGGCAGCATGTCAGCATCAAGGTCTTTATTTTGAGAGCCTCTGGGCATTTATTCCAGACACTTGGGAGCCAGGACTTCATTGAGAGCACAAAGGCAAATGAATCGTATTATCTGCATCTTAAAAACGAAAAAAGAAAATCATTATCAGTCACTGATTTCCCTGAGGTAAGGTAGCAGCTAAGAATCTAGAAGGTTTTCTTGTCTGGTAATTAATTACTTATTTTTAAATACTCTCTTGTCATTCTGTGTAGATCAAAACTACCAGGCACCTGTGTTACAGTATTCAGAAGTCCAATGTGTGTTTTGTAGCCCATGTACCCAGTAGGCCTACCAAAGTGGCAAATCTGTGATAGTAAATTTATTTTGAGGATGAGGTTAAGTGATTTTTTTTTTATTTCAGACCAAATAATTATAAACAATTTTCCTTATGCTTTAAGGTCTCTCAATTCTTGCTGAAATTGATATGATTTTAAAATATTTTGGCTGCAATTCTCCTCATTACTTTCCCAGTTTGGGGAAAGGGACCTAGAAATAGCAACGGTTCAGTTTTTCTTATCCTTAGTACCTGATTGTATTAGCTGAGATTCAGCACCATACTAAAGCTGATTTCATGACTTCGACTCCCGTTGGCCTGGAGCACTGTCAGAGCAGGTTTCAATCTGCCTGCAGAGGGTGGTGTAGGTGTTCCCCTAGAGGGCACCAGCTTTCTTTAGTAGATTCCATCAGATCCTTCCTTCCACCTCCAGAAAATGCAACGTTTTCTCTTACCTGTTCTCTGTGCTTTCAGCTTATCTGTTACTGTTTTATCAACTGTTTTGGCAAACTGTGACATAAAAATTAGACTTCTGCCACATAAACTCCCATGTAATACAATAACGCGACACATAGCATGTAAGACCTTAATACTTTTAGCATCCTGTTTGTTTACTACAGGCATCTAAGAACTATTGTTTTAGTAACTGGTTATCTGATAGTATGAAATTGAAACAGCTTGCTCTCTCTCTCTGAAGCCTGAATGCTAGATTTGGCCGTAGGTTGCAAGTATGGTCCACTATGGGATATCATCAACATAGACTTCCAAGTCACTAGGGTGGTACTAGTGTACAGCAACTAAAATTATGGGTCTGTACTCCCTTCAGATCTTTAGAACAATATCAGTTTAATTTCTCATCATTTTGTGGCTCATGGACCAAAATTTGAACTTGAGGGTTGGCCAGGCTATGAGACACTACAAAAAATTTCTGTCTCAAGGAAGGGATACTTATTAAATGTAGTAAATTGATAGTATGACAAGCACATTAGTAATTGAAAGTTGCTATTATGATGTCAGCATATGACATTTTATGTACCATCAGGCAGCCCATGTGCAGGAGTTTTAGAAGGCTTAATGTACTTCTGTGGTTTCCAGTGAAGGAAGTTTCCTAGCAAAAGTCCTGATCTCTGTGGTGGTTTTGAAAAGAGCCAAAGTATGCTGTGGTAAAATCCCTGAAGTCTGAAGTGACAAAGGCTGCTTGTCTGCAGGCTGCTGTTTCAGAGTCTCTGCAGGCATGTGTCTCTTGAGTCACAGCTGGGTTTTCTCTGCAGCCATGAGGGCTAGAAATCTGTAATGGAAGCAGTTGCTAGCCTCTAGCTCCACAACTTGTTCTGAGGAAGGTATGCTGTAGTCTTACATATAGTCAACATATATATGAGCTACACAAAATTACAAAATGGAATAACTTAATGTAAAGATGTAATAATACAAAAATTATAAAAGCTGGATGACATATAGGTTATATACAGCATAAAGCTACATCTCAAAGTATAGTACAGCAGATAGTATTGTTGGGAAGAAATCTCAGTGAACTTATGAACAATGCTTTATCTCTTTAACCTTTTTTGCATCTCCAGGGACAATCTCAACCAATGGGAGAAAGTAACAAGAGGTGAGGAAGCCTCTATATGGATTCCTTCCCAGTCCCTTGCTCCTGGGACCTCAGATTCACTTCCTGTGAAGATTGATGACTGAACAGCAGCAACAGATTGCTTTAACCCAAAAAGCATTCCTTCTTGTTTTGGAGGTTGTTTTTTTGTTTTGTTTCATTTTTGTTTGGAAAAAAAAAGAAAAAGAAAATCTATGAAGCAGATCTGCCTAGGACGGTAACACTCATGGAGTTACCTCAGCTAAATGTCTCTGGCAGCCAATCTCCTGACCTACACTGGTGACACAAGGTGAACAGAGGGAAAAACAACAACCCAGATGTTTTGGAATCGGCTATCAAAAGAGAACTTACAACTTGTGAATATAAAAGACTGGCCTTATCTCATGGGCTGCATTGCTGAGGCCTTAATTTAAAACTGATGGGGGGTGGGAAATCTTAGAGGGTACTTCTAAATTGTATCTTTCTAGTAAGGATTTCAATGGTACTTTTATTATACCGTACTGTGGCTGGCTTTAACACCAGTGTCACTTGGGAGTTCTTGGCTATAAATAGAACAATATACCCATTGCTATTGTGAATGTTTATGTGTGATCTACTTGTAATCAGTTTGAACTCCAGCAGAATCCTTGGGCACTATAATTCATGCTTAGGTTACAGTGAATTCTCCTTCTGCAAACTAAAGGAAAACCAACATTCAGGTTAAAAGTTTAAAGTACTTCATTAAGTCTCATGATGCAAATTGCCTGTCACTCAAAAGGCAAACATTGGAAGAACTAGTGATGGTGCTTTGTTCTCCAGAATGATTTATAATCCTAGACAACTCCTCCCTTAAAACACTGGAAGTACTGGATATGAGCTTCAGGTTAGAGTTTTGGTATCCATGGTGACAGAAGTATCAAATTAAAATATCAATGTGACAGCAAAGATTTCCTTGCCTAGTTCACAATTAAGTGAACTAATCATTTTCATTTCTGCCTGCTAAGTTGTATTTTAAAAGGTATTAGAGACATACCTGAAGTATGATATCTGCTGGGAACAAAAGCCTTGTCAGAGAAGTCAGGTCTAATAAGAGAGATTGTGGTACCATCACAATAAATCAAAAATGTTTTTGTATTGACTAGCTTTTGTGTTGCACAGTAACACTGCATGTCTTCTACTGTTCTCTTCCCCCATCCCAAGATGAGTGAATTAGGAAACTTCTCCATTTGTTTGTTTGCTTTTTAGTTCAGCAAAATTTCCAGACTTAGAACTCCCTTTCTCAATGAAAGAATTGCTGACTGAAGAAAAGTGCTCTAAAATATTGTGTTTACAGTTCTGTGCTGACTTAGGCTTCAGCCTTGCAAACTTATGCACAGACTTTAAGACCTTACATTTAATGCCACTCTTTTAAATTTAGTGCAATTGTATAGAGTATGTTTGAACAACACTTAATTTGCCTTCATCTTTCTCTTAAAAATGAGAAGAAATATTCATACTTATCCACACAGTACATGAAAACACAGTTTTTGCATACCTTTCACATACAGCCTATATTGCATTATATGCTTTTTCACGGATAATACACTCTTGTAGTGGTTCTGTGATACCATGGCCATTTGTGTGACTGCAACAAATAATTGTAGTGACTTAAAGACAGAACACAGATTCTCTTTTTCCATCTCATGTCTGTTGAGCCGTATTGCTCTAAAAAGCATGCCATCTTATGGGTTTCACGTAAATAACTTGGATGCTTGAGTTTTGCCTTCTGTTATGGTCGAGCACATACCAGTATCTGTACATGTGTACAGTATGTGATACATAATCACATAATATATAAATGCACCTAAGCCTTTGCAGTATAGATGTCGTAGGTTGCAGATAGATATCCTAGGTTCCAGAGGTTGAGAATTCAAGATGAAATTAACCTATTTGTATGATACAGGTTACCTAGCAGCAGCCTCATAGTTTTTTTCAGTTTGCTTTGCCAAGTCTAAGTGCAGAAATCAATTGTTAACCACAACAAACTCTTTTGGAATAATAGTTAAAAAAAAAAACCAGCAGGAAACAATTACACCAAAGTAGAATGAACAGTATCTCATGCTGTATCCTCTGCTTTACTCCGTAGGAGTTCTGTTTTAACTAAATCTGGTAGATGCAACCTTTCATCTGCTAAGTACTTGAGACGCAATTCATGGTTTCTAATATTTACATGAAAATTATCCAAATTTATGGTGACTACAAAAATACTCTCTGAAATTCAGATACCACAACAGCTGGATGGAACATTTTCGCTTCATGGGTTTAGTGTATTTGTTATTATTCTCCCTGTTTGAATGCTGATCTTACAAGCCTTGCAAAAATATTCCTTATCACCCTGTGTCTGTGTTAAAGAAAGCTTTTAATTCGTCCTTTATTTTTACAGTGAAGGTAACTTTACTAGTTCTATCACCATTCAAAATATTTGGCAGTATCACATACTTTGTTTTGAAGTTTGAAAGTACTGGTATAGAACAAATTTTCCTAACAAATTTGTCAAATTGGTAGTAAGTTTTTCTGTTAATGTTTCAAGACAATTAGGTATTGTTTCTATTATAGAACTATCCAAAACACATAAAATACATGTTTGCTATAGAGGAAGACGCATTAGAATGAAAAATTTTGGTTCCAGTGGTTGTGGTTTGGCTTGTTTTCCTGATGTGTAAAAGAGGAAAAGTAATGACAAAATGTTACTTTTTGTTAGCACCTAAGCTAGACCAACAAAAATAGCTACAATGGGCTGTATTTCCTAAGCAAATTTAGTGTGTCTTAGCATTTACAGAGTGCAGATTCGGATGTGTAAATTTCTTGTAGAAACAAAATTAAATTGCACTTCCAAAGTAAAAAAAAACCCAAGAAATTAAAACTTTGAAGCTGCCTTTAAATTTCATGGTTCAAGTACATGTTGAGATTTAGTTGGTCAAAATTCTGGACTTGGACTCACAAACAGAGCAGTAAGACATCTAGATCTGTCAGACATCTGGCTTATGAAGTTAAACTGCCAAAAGCCTGTTCTACCTTGCATTTTCATCCTGCTAAAACTGATCTTGCCCAAGATCAGTAAGAATGTATCAAAACCAAAACTAGATCCCTCCTTTCCTACAAGTATTAGACTTTATACTCCCAGAATGGCATTATTTTTGTTAATAATTACAATTGGTTTTCCCTTCTAAGTCTGGTAAAGATAAAAGGACCGTTTGAAGCCACATCTGTGCATTTCTAATGTATAATGAAATGCTCCCTGAAAGGTATGCACTAAATGAGAAAAAACAGTTGAGATAGCATGATACTCATCTGAGATGTGGCATATTTTATTACCGCACCAACAGAAACTCCACTGTTATAATTAATCTATGAATTTTGTACAGAATGTACAACATTCTGCTCATGGCATATTTTTTAAAATAAGTGGCCATTTAGTTATTATATTAGAGAAATCCAATACATTATTTTAGTTGGGAGTATGTGATAAAACATATTTATGTTGGAGGGGACATGCAGCGTGGAATTAATCTTTTTATGTGGCACAGACTTTTCACATGTTTAAACTTAGAGCAGTTTGATCAGCTTGCTGTGACTGCATTTAGAGCATTTTGTGTTACAATTGTAGGGACAGCCAATAGCACTATTCATGTTGAAAAGTAGAGGTTATTAGATGCTCGGAGCGATTATGACCCTCTTGAAATAATGCATTTGCCTCAAACACTGTGATATAGGAACAGTTCTGTGAAGTGGAACAACTGATTTGTTCATTCTAAACACAGAAAAGGCTTTCTGCACACTACTACAAGGAAGTCCACGTTCAAACTTTAGGTCGTGTATCCCAATCTAGCAAAGGCACATCATAACTCTTATTTTGCTTTCTGACCAAAAACTGTGCTCAATTGTAATACGGGTGTATACTCGTTCAAAAGAACTAAAATAATGGACTGCTTTCTAGGGTAGCTCAAACTGATTTGTAGAGTAGATTCATATATATTCAAAATTCAGGTTGGGCTGTTATGTGAAGAAGAACAAACCTAAAGGTAACAACATTCAACTTTACTACATTTAGTGAGCTGAAAAAAATTGTTGTGTGTATATATATATATATATATATATATTTACACACACACACACACACATATATGATACATAAAAAACTTTGTAAAAAAAAATAAATATGCAAGTGCAATAATTTAAAGAGGTCTTAACTTTGCATTTATAAATTATAAATACTGTACATGGTGTGTAATTTTTTTCATGTATTCATTTGCAGTCTTTGTATTTAAAAACAAACCTAAACCTTTACTATTACGTTTGTACAATAGAACAGTAAGCATTTATTATTATATAGTTAAGTTGTAAATAAATTCACAAACCAAACAGCCAGTACATATGCATATATGGGTGTCCTATTGTGAAACCTGTTTTTGCTTTTACTGCTGGCTTTAGCACAGCAAGACTACTTCTGTGGATATGTAATTATACATATAAATATATGTATGATACATAAAATCTATTTAGAAATGTTCATAATTTTAATGGATATATCTATACATATACTTTGGTGTGAATATTACTGAATACAGAGTTTTTTAATATTATTTTTCATGTTTATTTTTGCTATTATTGGGAGTGGAAGTGAGGGATGGGAAGTGTGTGCATGCATATATGTGTTTATGCCACAAGTAAACCACAAGAGAAAGGGATTCAAAACATAATGGAGTACTTTAAAAAGGTGGTGCCTGGTTTTCCCTGTAATTGCAGTGTACTGCTTGATGTGTTTTCCCAACATAAGGTCATTCTTTAAAAAAAACCAACCCAAAACAAACAAACAAACAAAACCCCAAACAAATATATATGTTATCACCTCTTGCTAGTTGACATTGTCACAAACTGCAGAGGAGACCCACTTTTCTGTTTGCTCTCCTGCTGCCAGAGCTTCCCTTGCTGTTGGCAGGTACTTCCACACAGCTCCTTGCGTTGCCACTGTCAAATGGCAGTGCAGCTGCAGCAGAAGCATTTGGTACCTTTTTGGGAATTATGGACATACTCAGATGCTGAATTGTAGACAAATAATACTTCACCTAAATTTTTAAGGCTTGCTAGTCCATTTGACAGCTGTCACTACCCTGACAATACAAGGTAGGTTCAGGGAACTGTAAAACAAAGTTCTGAACAACACACTAGCGGGTATTTATAAAATAGGTGAGTAAAAATGAGGGAAAAAAATTACTGTGTATTTATCTTTGCAATACCTTGATTTGCTTCAAAGATCTCTTGCACTGTTCATGCTCAGTAGAGAGGGTATTTGACATTTATAGACCTCAGAGTGGCCTTGTGTCTTCATGGCTCTGCATGACCCTTCAATTTTCAGGGAAAGATGTTGAGCCTGGGCCAGAGAGTTCAAGCTGAACTGTCTCTAGTGCTCAGCGTGGCCTCCAAGTGTTTCTGGCCTCCCTTCTCACTGAAGGAACTCAGCATTGCTGGGATGACTTGGCCAGAAAGAGGTTTCCAGGGCAACTGTTTCAGTTTAACTATTGCATACAGTGGTGAAAAGCAAGTTTTACAAACTGTATCTGGCTTTGTGCTGTTGTGACCAGCCCTTCCAGAAAGCTGTGTTTGCTGCAAGTGATGTGCTGTTAGGCCTAACTTTTGTGAGGAAACAGAAACTG